CCTTCTGAGTGTTGGAATGACAGGTGTGTGCCACTATGCCTAGTCATGTTTCAAAAACACTTAAAAATTATTGTGAGTATGATATATGTGTACCACGTGTGCTGCAGAGATTGAGTGGAGGTCTGAGCAAAGCTTGGTGGGGTTGGTTCTCTTCTTCCACCTTTACGAGGTATCTGGGGATAGATCCAGTTAGGGTTGTGAAGCTTGTGCGGCAAGGGCTTTACCTGCTAAGCCATCCACTGTCCTGCCTAGCCATTTGTGGGTTTTTTTTTTTTTGGTTTTGTGTTTTGTTTTTTTTTTTTTGGTTTTGTTTTTGTTTAGCAAGAGCAGCCAGTGCTCTTAACCACTGAGCCATCTCTCCAGCCCCATTTGTGCTATTTTAAAAAGAAACTTTTTATCCATTAAACAATAAAGTTCAGTTAAGCATTATCTCCCCATCCCATTTCCCACTCTGGGCAGCTCCTGCTTTCTGTCACTACAGTGTTTCCTACTCCAGTACTGCATGTGAGTGGGATCTTAAAAACAGTATTTATTCTTGTGTCTGGCTTACTTAACTTAGCATGATATCAGGAGTATGTGTATCTGTAATACGTACATTTATACTACATCCTTTCGGATGTACATTTTACAGACAGAGCAAGTACATCTGGAGAGTTAGTACCTCTGTCTGGAGTCCTTGCAGCTGCTTTGAGGACCAGCAGGACCTCATGTGTGGCACTGGCCTGTGATTACTGCCTCCCATGGTTTTCTTTGGCTCCATGTTCCCATGACTCTGTGTCTCCCGTGGCTTCCATGGCTTGTTTTCTGATTTGGTGTTTGATAATGTGTGACATGCTTTTGTGCTGGGCTCCACAGAGGTCCCACATGACCTCTAGGGCTAATGTCTGTGTAAAACAGAAATCCGACTCTGAGGATCATGGTTGGCCAGAATGGTGTTCACCTATGTCTTCCTGAGTCTGAGTAACATGTGTGTCGGTGCTGTGTCCATTTCAGGGGTCTGGGAAGCAGGCAGAGGGCCTTCAGGTAGCTCAAAGTGAGACCTGCCTTTGGCCACATTTTGGTTGTCTCCTCGTCATTATGGGAGTAGAAGAAAGTAGAAATTTTGTGTGTGTGTGTGTGTGTGTGTGTGTGTGTGTGTGTGTGTATACACGCTTCATGGGAGGAGCTGCAGTTAGGGTATGTCCGTATATGTATGAATGTGTATCTGTGTATGTATAAGTAAGTGGGCCTATGTGTGCCTGTGTATATGAATAACAGACACACTCACTGTGTATCTGTGTGTGAGCATGTCTGTGAGTGTATCTGTGTGTATGAATTTGTATGTTTGTATGTCTCTGTGTCCATGTATATGAGTGTCTGTGCCTGTGTGAGTGTATTATAAGTATATGTGTGTGTGCTTGAATATGTTTTTGTGTCTGTGTGTGTGACTGTGCATCTGTGTGACTGTGCATCTGTGTGACTGTGCATCTGTGTGTATCTCTGTATCTGTGTGTGTCTCTGTATGAGTGTCTGTGTGTATGTGTATGTGCACTCTGTGCCACTGTGTGACTGTGTGCATATCTACATGATTGTTAGTGTGTGTCCATATGTGTATATCTGTGTATGTGTGCAAATGTGTGTTTATCTGCGAGTATGTCTGTGTGTTTGTGTGAGTATATGGTATGTGTGAATGTGTCTGTGCTGTATGTATTTGTGTGTATGTCTGTGTGTGTGTGTCTGTATATGTATTTGTGTATATATCTGTGTATATATGTGAGCATGTGTGAGTGTATCTGTGCTGGTGTGCATGTGGACAAGTGTCTGGAGGAGAGGGAGCCACTTCAAGATTTGCCCTGGGCCCTGCTCTTGTGCCAGCACACCCCACAGCTGGAGGCACAGCCACTGCTTACTGATGATAAAACTCCCATCACATTTTTTTGTTGGATGTATTATTTCTTGTGAGCTCAACATTGTAGAAATCTAAGGAATCTTGATTTCTCTTAACTAAGTTTCTTGCTGGAGCAAAGACTGTTGACACCAAGTTCAGGAGAAATCTCAGTGGCCCCTCTGCCTGCAGTCCCTGTGGAATTCCAGCAAGGATGGGCAGTGACCACTGGGGACCCAACCCCACCAAGCCCTAGGCCTGCCTTTTGTTTCTTGGAGTTCCACTCAGTCAATTCCCATAGCCACAAGCCTCCAACTTATCTTTGCAGATTCAAAGAGACAAAGAATCCATGTTTAGGAGACAGGCCAGGGACCACATGGGTGGGTCCAGCTCCATCATCCTGTGCTATCTCCCACCCACCTCTGTCACAAGGTGACTTGGGCTGGTAGCCTTATCCAGAGGATCCCCTTTACCTCTCCCACAAGTGATATGTAGGACGAACAGCATCTTGCTCCACTGACCTGTTTCTCTTCCCGTTGGAAACAAAGCTGTCTGCCTTATCACTTCTGAGAGGATTTCCGAGAATCTAGAATTTCTGAGACTTTCGGATCAGCTCACTGTCCCTTCCCCAGCAAGCACACTGAGATGAGGACAGGCCCCAGCTGCAGCTGTTGCTTGCTCCCAGGCCCACTGAACCACATTCCTTCCAATAGCCATGGCCATTTTTGGAGGAGCAGAATTTGGACATTGGCAGTAACTGGGATTTAGCTAAAATTCCAGAGGGGAAGGCAGTGACTCTGTCCTTCTCATTTTGAGAAGGTTTGCCTGTCAGCCACAAGTAGTGAAAAGCAGCACAAGTAGGGCTTGAGAGATGGCTCAGTGGTTAAGAGTACTTGCTGCTCTTAAAGAGGACCCAAGTTGGGTTCCCAGCACCCATGTTGGGCAGCTCACAACTACCTGTAACTCCAGCTCCAGGGTATCTGATGCCCTTTTCTGACCTCCACTGGAACTTGCATTCATGTGCACATGCTCACACACACACACACACACACACACACACACACAAATAAATAAATAAACTTAAAAAGTAAATCCGGGGAAAAAATCAGCACAAGTCAGTTTTGGAGTACAAGGTCCCCAGCAGACATTGCCATATGTATATTACCACTGGGTGTGCATTATGCTGCTGCATAGGATCAATGGCTGTTTATGGTGCACTGTGTTGACAGGGGCACCCTTGCCAGCCCTGAAAGTCTGTGGCTCTCCTAATGTTTGATACCTCCTTCCTGCTATAGCCCACTCTGGTCTTGAGGGTATGTTCTTTCTGAAGTGGTCTTGGTATAATATACATCCACATGAGCAGGATTCCCCTGGCATTAGTGTGCAACCCTTTACCCCTTGCACACCCACCAGAAGGAAATGTTTGAGCTGGCTTCCTAGAAGGCCCTTCCTGCTGTGCCCAGCCCATCCTCAATAGCCACAGATAGGCCAGCCCTTACTACACAGACACCAACTGCCCATCCCCAGTGCCAGTGACATCCCATCTGTAGGCAGTGGCTCCACTCTTGGGGCCCACAGCCTGAAAGAGCCAGGGAGCCACTGCTCACATTGGGATGCCTTGAGAGTGGGAGTTTGGAGTGTTTGAGGACCTGGCTTGTGCAGAGGTCCTATATTTACAGTTGATAAATGCCTGAGGAGTGTGGAGCCCAGGATGCCCCTAGTTGCGGAAATAAGAGCCAGAACAAGTCTGTTACGGACCCTTATAAAGCTTGGTTCCCTCCCCATCTCCATACTTGGGAACAGACCATCAGCTCTCCAGAGCCACCAAATGACTTTGTTGTTACAGTTCCTAACTGGACCTCAACTCACTCTTCAGTCTTCAGCTCAGCCAGGGTTTGCCCAGGAAAGCCTGGCTTATAGCCTTGATAGCTGTGTTCTCAAGCACTGTTCGGGAGTCTGCCATCTGTGAGGCCCATCTGGGGCAGAGCTGGCTCTGTCAGCAGTTGAAGAAAAAGCCATGGACAAAACTGACTCTCCCTGTGGAGGTGGGAGCCAGGTCACCTGGCTCCTGAGTGAGAAGAGGCAGAATTTACTGGGAACTCCATGGAGGGGCACGTATCACCTGGAGTTGTTTGGGGGGGCACTGGGGATGGATATTATATTATTATTCTCAGTTAAAATATTTTATCTGGGGTCTTGGACATATAAGTTGGTAAAGTACTTGCCTAGTACTAATGCAGGAAACTCTGGGTTCAATCCTAGCACTCTATAAACCAGGCATGGTGGTGCACACCTATAATCCAAGCACTCAGGAGGTAGAGGCAGGAAGATCTGGAGTTCAAGGTTATCCTTGAACACATAGTGAGTTCAAAGCCAGCCTGAGAAAGATGAGACCCTGTCTCAAAAAACAAAAGTAAAATAAAATAGTTTACCCTTTCTAAGTTTCCCAGTGTGTCTTATGTTTTGGTTCAGAAACTGGTCACCATAGCAACCAGGCACAGACAAGCACACTGGGGAGGGGGACCTGAGGGGTGGTTCCCAGAGTCCTTTCTTCAAATTGGTACACAGGACCTCAGGCCCAGAGTCAGGATCCAGCTACGTTCTGAAGAGCTCTTCAGCTGCCCTGTGCATGCAGAGCCCAGGCAATGTCAGCACTGTTATCATTTAGGCACCTGCATTGCCCTGATGTTTGGCTAATCAGTTCTGTCATCTGTGCCTTTCATATGGTGTGTCAGGGAGAAGGGAGCTCAAATGTGTTCCCTACTGTGTTCTTTGCATGGGTTGCCTACAGAGTATGTGAGCCCCATCACAGAAGTGAGGAAGCAGGTTTAGAAAGCTACATCGTCACCCCACAGTCCTATAGTTTGCTCTGATCTGGATGAGACTTGAGCCTCTTTCTGCCTAGACCAGCAGCTTCATCGTTCCCTTCTGTATTGGGTTGAGTCTGCAGGTGCCTCACTGGTATTGACTAAGAGCCTGTTTGGTGGGAGAGGACCTGGAGGCCTCAGCTTTAGCAGCCGTCTGTGGTAAACACCAAAACACTGACCTGTGCAAAGCAAAAGTTGGGATCTGGGTGGGTGTTCCCTGGGGTTTTCTGAGTTTGGGTCTCAAATTTATTCTTGAATTTTTATTTCAGGACATAACTTGGCAAGATGAGCACTCGGCCCCATTCTCCTGGGAAACAAGGGTAAGTTAAGTAATTTAGATGTCTTTGTCCCTTTTAAAAACAGTGGTGTGTCAGTACATTTTCTTTGAGCATCTGATGTGTGCAGGAGACTGTGTGGTCCCCACTGCTGGCCTGCAGTTGACAGCCCATGTCAGTCGGACAGAAAGTGACTTTGGGGGAGCTGAGCCTGTGCGTGGTTTGGTGGAGGAACACAAGGTCATCTTGGGTTCTGTTAGTCCCATGGTGTCCTGTGATGTCTCTGAGACCCATGAGCTCCCATCCATCTTGAATGGGGACTGACTTGTCAGGGGGACTTCGCTGTCCTTACGCCTTAGCCCACCTGTACTTAGCACTGTGAAGGGGATGCCCCATGAGACAGTTTAGAGCCCCTGGTGAGGTGACTAGCTAGTTTTCATGTCATGTGAACACACACACACACACCCTTAGGGAGCTGATGGAACATAGCATGGAGCTCTGACTGTGGTGCCTCAGTCATCATGTCCTGGTTGTCATTACCAGAGCATCGAGTCTGACTTCAATGCGTGTCCCCATCTCCCCTGCTACGCAGAAGAAGGGCCTTAGAACGCAGCAAGACAACAAAGAGGCAGGTGTCTCTCTGCCAAAGAGAAGAGAAAGGTCAGGCTTTTCTAATTCTAATTCTAGAACTTTCCATGTAGTGTTCTAGTGGGTTGTCCCTAAGTGCTACAGAGGAGATAGCAGTGTGCCTGGAGTGGGGCTTGTGTTGAGGTCAGAATGGGCTTTTCAGGCACTCATCAGTAATTGAAGGCTTTGTTTCTTGACTTTTCACTCATTTCCACTGCTTCTGATTACAATCCTTGCCCAGCTGACCCCAAAACCAGGCCAGGATGGGGAGACCCATAGAGATGGAGGGTCATGGTAGGGGAGCACTGAGGGACTCTCCAGGGACTCTGAGAAGCCTCTCAAGACCATGTCTTTGGATGCACCAGGGCTTGGGGGACAGGGACAGCCGCACTGCCCCTTATTGGTAGACTGAATTCAGTGAGCAGTGGCTGACTCTAAGTGAGGTAAGCCAGCCTCAGGACAGGGAAGATGCGATGGCTGAGGCAGTCACATGTTTGAGATGAAAGGTGGTTGAACACATGGTGTCTATGCAGATGAACACATTTGCTAAGTAAGGGTGGATTCCCCCAGCCTTCCACATACCACTGTGCAGATCCTAAACCTAGAGTAAAGTAGCAGACCTCTACATCCTATCGATCCTGTTGAGGCAGTCTCAGCATATAGCTCAGGCTGGCCTCAAACTCCTGGTCCCCCTGCCTCAGCTTCTGGAGTGCTCAGGTTATAAGCATGTACCACCATAGGTCTTTTTATGTTTCTACTGTAGATTAGTGAGGAAGCCAGGTCAGTGCAGAGGGTTGGAGGTGGGGATGGTCAGCTGGGAGCTGGTGGCACCCTGAGATTGAGCTATGGGACAGGCTTGGGCTAGCTGGATGAATCCTTTGCCTAAGCTTCCCACTCTGATGATTCAGTGTTGAGAGTTTCTGAGGGCAGAATAGGGCATGTGGGATGTGTGGAGATGGGAGCGATTGCCCCTTCCTCTCACAACCAGAACCTCAGAGGATTTTACCTCTTGCTTCTACAGATGGGCTACACTCTTTTTAGGAACTTAAAAGTAACCAGAAACCTCAGTAGAGAGCTACACACAGGAGGTGGTCTTAGTGAGGGAAGGACCCTACTCTCCAAATGCAGAATGTGAGATCAGACCCGGTCTACTGTCTCTCAGTGAATGCCAACTTCATTACATCAGTTGTCATTGAGCCATAGGATTTCTTAGGACTAGTGGCCCAAAGCAGCCTGGGATACTGTGGGTCAGAGCAGGGCTCAGTTGGGCCGTTCTTGGCACCCCTATCTACTGGGATCAATCCTTGCACCTCAAGAGAGTCTCAGTTGCATACCAGGTGGTGCCAGCCACAGCGAGCCAGCCTGGGCTTCTGGCTCTGTGTAGAAGTGACCCATGTGGCAGCATAGATGCCTGTGAGGCCTGTCTAGCCTGCTGGAGTCAAGATGTAAGATGAGAGGCTACTTTAAAAAAAATTATTTATGTATTTCTTTTTATTTTATGTGTGTAAGTATTACCTACATGTATGTAAGTGTACCACATGTGTGCAGTGCCTAGGGAGGCCAGAAGAGGGGGTTGGATCCCCTGGAACTAGAGTTACAAAAGGTTGTTAACTGTCATGTGGGTGCTGGGAACTGAATCCAGGTCCTCTGCAAGAGCAGGCTGTGCTCTTAGCTACTGATTCATCTCTTAAGTCCCCAAGAGACTGATCCTTGATGGAGCAGGTGCATATGCAGCCATGCTTAATGCAAGAGTTGACTTTTCAAGTTGGCATCTCTACTGTTAATTTTGAGTTATTTCTTTCTACTTTGACTCTATCACCTACTGATCTTTAATTTTTTTACATTTATTTATTTTTTTATTTGGGGTGTGTGTGTGTGTGTGTGTGTGTGTGTGTGTGTGTGTGTTTGTGTGTGTGTTCACATGTGGAGGTCAGAAGACAACTTGCTGACCTTCCACCATGTGGGTTCTGGGGTTGGAACCCAGGATTAGTCTTGGCAGCAAGTGACAGGGCCATCACTATGTAGCCCAAGCTGGCCTCCAACTCTGGGCAGTCCTCTTGCTGTAGCCTCCCCAGTGCTGGGCTTACAGGTGTGTACCACCACTCCTGGATCTTTTCATTTTTTCTAGTACCAGGGCTTGAACCCAGGGCCTCACACATGCTAGGCAGGCAAGCACTTTACCACCGAGCAATATCCCCGGCTAAAGTTTCTATTAATTATGATAAAATGCACATAACACAAAATTTACTAGCTTAGCTTTGGGGCAAGTAGGGGTTCTGAGCATTGAGCCCAGGGGCTTCACATGTGCTAAACACAGGTGAGTAAGTACCATGGTCTCTGCTTCACTTCTTTCCTCCCAAGGTTTATTGTGTGTGTGTTTGTGTTTTAATCATAACAGAAAGCAAACTAGAGCAGCTGGGAACCAAACTCTGGTCCTCTGCCAGAGCAGGGTACACTCTTAACTGCTGAGCCATCTCTCCAGCCTGCTTTGGTTGGGGACAGGGTTTCCTGGGATCAACCTTAGGTCCTTGTGCTTGCAAGGCACCTTAAAAATATTTAATTAGGCTGGGTGTGGTGGCACATGCCTTTAATCCCAGCACTTGGGAGGCAGAGGCAGGTGGATCTTTGTGCGTTTGAGGCCAGCCTGGTCTACATAGTGAGTTCCAGTACAGGCAAGTAGGGGTTCTGAGCATTGAGCCCAGGGGCTTCACATGTGCTAAACACAGGTGAGTAAGTACCATGGTCTCTGCTTCACTTCTTTCCTCCCAAGGTTTATTGTGTGTGTGTTTGTGTTTTAATCATAACAGAAAGCAAACTAGAGCAGCTGGGAACCAAACTCTGGTCCTCTGCCAGAGCAGGGTACACTCTTAACTGCTGAGCCATCTCTCCAGCCTGCTTTGGTTGGGGACAGGGTTTCCTGGGATCAACCTTAGGTCCTTGTGCTTGCAAGGCACCTTAAAAATATTTAATTAGGCTGGGTGTGGTGGCACATGCCTTTAATCCCAGCACTTGGGAGGCAGAGGCAGGTGGATCTTTGTGCGTTTGAGGCCAGCCTGGTCTACATAGTGAGTTCCAGTACAGCTGGGGCTACAAGGAGACCCTGTCTCAAAAAGACAAAAAACATTTTTTTTAATTAGTTATACATATATGTGTGAGTCTATGTGTGGGTATATGTGTGAGTGCAGTGCTCTCAGAGGCCAGAAGAGGGCATCACATCCCCTAGAGCTGGTGGTTGTGAGTTGCTTTGTGGCATTTAACACTCTCTCGTGGTTATGTGCCTATGACCATTCACCTGCAGAACTTTTTTTTTTTGAGACACGGTCTCCCTGTCACCCCAGCAGGCCTACTCGCTGTGTAGATCAGACAGCCTTGATTTCACAGAGATCTGTCCGCCCCTGTCTCTGGGATTAAAGGCATGTACCACCCATGCCTAGCCAGAACTCCCTTATTTTACAATCACATGTGTTTTCTGGTATTTTGCTATTTACAAACACTGGGATAATTACATAAAGCTAATAACATACCAGAATGTTCCATCTTGCAAGACACATCCCTGTACTCCTATAAAGACAATAACTCTCAACAATGCCCCGCCTCTGCCTGACAACAGGGTGGAAGAGAGGCCTGCCCATCCCAACAAGGTCGTGGCTGCCATCTTTTCCACTCATCTGTCAGCTTGGCAGGCATGGTGGGGGAGAGTATCCATGGGGACCACTGCATTCTTCTCTCACGCACCTCTCTGTTCAGAGGAAAAACCCTGTACTAGAACACCCCAGACGAGGAAGGAGGCCAGGATGGAGAAGATTTCTTGCATTCCCAGGTGGCCTGGGCTGAGGACATGGAGGAGAGTGCTGGGCAGGCAGGGCTGGGTGCTCAGGACCCCAGCCCCAAGCTGTGTGGCTTCAGTCTGCCTTCATTGACATTCAGCTGCCTGTTTGGGGTCCTAAGGAGTGGGGGATCGAATGATTGATTCTGAGGCTTATGTGGTCTTTTCAGAGTGGGGAACCTTCCAGGCCTTCCTCAGGGAGGAGGAGGCCACACTGTAATCACACACACACTCATATATGCGCACATTAGCATGTCTTCCAGAGCATACCCCACTTACAACTCATGTGCACATCTGAATTCCTCCCCCCTGGGGCTTCTCCTCTTCCTGTTGTAGGTGAGTAGGTCACATACCATCAGACTGGAGAGTGGAGCTCCTGCTGAATGTAGCTCACAGGCGTCACTGCCCATGGAGGACAGAAGGACCCCTTAGTTCTAAGTCGTGGCTTCGAATGGCTGTACCTCCTCACTGCTAGTCACAATTTCTGAGAAGCATGATCCTACAGGCCACACCCCATCCCATCACATCATAGCTCCTGCCTTGCTGGGCTCATGAGTCTTCCTCATGGAGGCCCCAATCCCTGCTCGATGGT